AGCATCAGTAATGCCACCACAAAAATAAATGGATGCTTAAAAACTTTGTTCTCAGTTCTCTTAACACTTTTTCTCACAGAAGATGCTACTGTTTTACTCAATTTAATGTCTTCAGTTCTGCAAGTTCTGTAAGTTGCAAGATGACCTCACAAGTATGGCCATAACCCTTTCTGACTATATATGATTTTAATACATATAGTATATGTAACACAATATATAATTTTTCATTTACACTACTTGAAGAAGTCAGCAAGACAATGAATTGGTAATTCAGTGTATCAAATAGTAGCTGTACTTTAGAGAGTTGAAAAAATGTTAGTATAAACTCCATGTTATTTCACTAAATGCGGTAATTACTAGCATGTCAACGGAGCATCATTAAGGGTTCATCCCTTCACAGATGTTTAAACAACATGTGGTTAAAATGTAGCACATACATCAGAGCAGCTGACAACATCATACAACCAAACCAGTATTTATTATCAACACTCAAGAGGAAGCCACACTTTCTCTTTGTTTAGCCTCCTCTATATAGATGCCGAATATTTGTAAATGTTCCTTTTATTGAAGATTTGTTTAAACCAGAGAAGAATAGTAAGTGCAAATGTGAAGGAAGCCAGGCAAATCCAAGAGATCAGACATCCCAGTAAGCCAAAACATGCTGCAAGGGCAGCCCTGTGCAGGGTGCAATTCTGGTTCTGCTTTTCACATACTCTACAGACATTCCCATGCTGCACCGCGCTCTTGAGGTGTCACATACAAAACAATTCTCCAAAGGCTAACAACTATCCTCTAGTCTAAGCTGAAATCAAGTTATAGTGATGTTATCTTCACAAATGAGGAATTCAAAGAAAAATAAAAGGCTCTACCTATCCTCGCCTGCCAGACTTCTGAGTGTCCATGTCATCTACACAGCTGTGAAAGCATGCTGATGTATTTAGATCTTCCTCCTTCTGACTCTCTTGCTTTAGAGTGCAGCAAGATACAATTCAATCCATTTTGCAAAGATAAATATGAAATAAGGACATTAGAATCAGCTTGATGTAGAAACAGCTATAACGGCTACATCTGTATGGCAGGTATATTTAATCAGTGAAAAACATCCCGTTCACAATACTGAACATAATTATGAAGAAGAGAGAAATCTAAAAAAACAATGCTGAAAATCAACATGCCTTACCCATAGGTCTGTTTCTGTCCCTGAGGTCCCTGTGGTTGGGGTGTCTGTATGAGTCCCTGTAGTGGTGGGCAATGGCCATATCATCCAAACGATAATGCTGAGGTGGAGGTGGGGTGGGATGAGGCAGACCATTGGGCTGATAAGATAAGCCATTATTTGGACTGTACCGCTGGCCTGGGCTAATAGTGCAGGGCCGCTTGCTTGGATGCTCTGAGTGCAAAGGCTCTCTGTCAAAGCCATTTTCTTTGGTTCTGAAAAACAAAGCAAAGTAACTTAAATTCACTTAGTGAGCAGAAGAACACGCACCTGAACCTACACATGCAGCTGCAGGAACTAAAGCTTGTTCTTTCACTTTGCTCCAAGTGTGTGGCATTGCAGAACATTTCATAACACTTCTAATTCAAACTATAAAAAGGACACCTTTGCCTTGTCTAGCTAGTGTGAAATATTAACAGGGTGAGCCTTCCAGTGGGGCAGCTTAAAGCGCTGGGCTGAAGAACAAGCACCATTTGCTGAAATCACCTGCTGGTGGGATGGATACACAATTGCAGAGATGAAACAACTGATAAAAGAAGGCAGGGCTGAGAAATTTCTGCTTTCATTAGTGCTACAGCATATAGTGATTAAGGGAAACCTGCAGTTAAAGTAACATCTTTTTTCACATGTCTTAATGTAGTGTGTGTCAGTGATCTGAAGGTCAGCTGTACATCATGCCAGGATGTGTTTCCCTCAAGATCAGTATCACTCTGAGACTTTGAGCAAGACGATCAGAAATGCTTTCTTCAGAGACTTTTGTATCAGCTGGGCTATTTCAGTCAAAGGTGCTGTTCCTCTCATAAATTTTGCAGGGCATGTGGTTAGACTCAAGTCCTCAATGATGTTGAAGATTTCCCACTCCATTACTCTTCTACAGGGGTTTTGTGCTCAGGAAACTCTTACAAAGGAGTATTACAAGGGCATTTTTCACATTATTAATGCTTGTTAATTCAATTATTAATAATCACTTATTCCCAAAGAACTCTACTTTGCACCTCTGCTCAAAAACCTATAACTCACACTGAACTAATTTTCCATTAAAATAAAGGCTAGAGTTACTTCAGCAAGTTCACAACTCCTTTTAGGGAAGCTTTGTTTCACACAACTATAGGGAGTTTTTACCACTGGAATAAGCAAAACTGACAAAATATTAGCTTTGAACAGAAAGTTTATTAGATATAAATATCGCAAACTGATGAGGTTGCACCTTTATTAAACAGGTAATACATTCCAGCATTTTTACAGAGAACTTTCTCTGTTGTGATTTCTGGATGGCATAGTGTATCTTCCTAGTAAAAACACAATTTTTTGTCCCTTCAACAGGAAGGTAAATCTGACACAATCTTCTTGTTTGCCTGCTTTTAAAACAAACTGCCCTTCAATAAATCTTTCTCCACAAACCAACCAACCTCGAGAGACCATCTGAGGAGAAATACTCAATGTTATCAGTTGTTGCCCCTCAATAGGTCCTCCTTTAATGTCAGTGGGTGGAAGGGTGAAACTGTATCTTTGCAAATATCCACTAGGAGAGGTGATTAAAGTAAGATCTTGCAATTACCATCAGGAAATAAAAAGATGGGTTGCACTGTTTTCAGGAGGAGTAAAGAGATTTTCCAGGGACCTCACCACAACCACTAATACCTGAGAAGATGCAAGTACATATATTTCACTACTCTTTAACTTAGGAAAGAGGGAAGAATCTTTCACCAATGCAGCTGGTCAGCTGTTCTAATTTTGGGCAGAGATACAAAAGACGTACTTTGTTGAAGTAGAGTATGTATCTCGTTCCAAAGCAAACCCAGAATGGCTGTGAAAACTTCTAATCAGGAAAACCTGAGGACCATCATATATTTTTAGTGACTTTTGGCACGATGGAACTGCTTTCAATAACTCTCAGTGGGTGGTGATGTTTTTGACAGCTCTTCAAGACAAGTTTTGTATTTTGTTGCTGGTGTGTGTTCCTTTTGCACATACCAACTCAAATTCTATGTCCAGGTCTTTCCATTGCAAAAATACTATACAAGCAAAATATGGACTTTCCTGTATGTATGAAACAAGCTATTCATTTCCAAAAGTTCTTTAGTGTTATGGTAAGAATGATCTCTGAAAAAGTGGGGGAAAAAAAAGAAACTGCAAGCAATTAAATAACTTTTTTTGTTCACTAAGTGTAGCAAAAGCAAACCAGAAAACTGTGACTAGTAGGAATCTACTTTTCCCTTTCTGAAATATAATTAGATGTTTAAAAAAAGCCCTAAATATATTTTCATACAAATTCACATATTTGCACTTTATCATACCTGTACTTCTGTGGTGTTTTTTAGGAATGCTTTGTTCTTATTAACGGGAATGAACTGCATAATCTTGGGTAATACACCAACACACCCATTCTTTCTAGAAACCTGAGTTCAACTAACACAGAAATTAACATGACTATTGAAAATGTGTTTGCTGAAATTAAATTCCCATTTTTGCTGTTATACTAGATAATGTCTATTGGGTCTTTTCTGGGTGTTGAAACCTTAATTCTACAATTCGTTGTTATATTTTCTACATGTATTTTTTTTATAATACTGTGCTACAGAAAATATTTATATTGCCTTGTGAATGGTTCATATTAAGAAAATTATTTTTAAATTCCTCATAATTACACATGGCTTACAAGGAGCATAGATGCAAGAGCTGTGTATTCTTCACCTCATTAAGATGCGGAGGAGCTTCTTCAAATGAGAAAATTTATCTGATAGAATCATTGGACTTGGTCTCTCAGCTCAGCCACATTCACCCCCTTGTCAGGGGGGTGCCCAGGATACAAACAAGTAGAGCAGCACTTTCTTAAGTCACAAAAGAATGATGGCTACTTTTTATTTTTCTTCTCACTCCAAATTTGAGCTATTGTTAAAGATATTTTTGTATCCTATAATCAGTTTATAGTCAGCTGCCATAGTATCATTTCATTTAAGTTGGAAAAGACTTTTAAGATCATCAAGTCTAACCTTCTGTAAGGCTTTGCAAACTAATGAGGAGAAGATAATTGATACTGTCCTTGAACCTGCTACAAGCCCTTGTTTTTGGCACAGTTTCTCTCTCAAATATGAAAAAGCCAGGAATTAAGACACAAAATTGTAGTTGCCTGATCTTACCAGATGGCCAGCTCCAGACACCTTTTCACAGAATCACAGAATTTTTGTGGTTGGAGAGGACCTCTGAGATAACAAGTCCAACCATCAACACATAAAAACCCAAAAAGACACAAGCAACCTCACACACTCCACAAAAAAAAAAAAAAAAAAACAAACCACAAAAAACCCCACAACTTTGGTCACTAGAGCATGTCCTGAAGTGCCATATCTACATGTTTCTTGAATACCTCCAAGGATGGTGACTCAACCACCTCTCTGGGCAGGCTGTTCCAGTGCCTGACCACCCTAAATTCTTCATAAATGTAAAATCACTACATGACACGTTTATGTCCCTTACAATCCTTCCCAGCAAGCTCAAAGGATGACTATTTTGTGCTGGTGTATTTTAAATCATGTTACTTATAACTAGCATTCATTCACCAAAATAAAAACCCACATTGGTCCAAGTTCCTTTGCTTTACTACAGAGGAATGTAAACTCCAAAACTTGTAAACAAAATATAGTGAACACTTTGTTCATGACATGTCATGAACAAATTACCAAAATGTGTTGTCTCCTCAGGTGTCAGTTTTTCTCTCTTGCAGTGACTGATGGTTCCCAGTGTTATTACAGAAACAGATTGATCTTTTTAATGAGCTAGTTTAATAGACTCCAAAATCTCACCGTGGCTGCTCATCCGTGTCAGACCATATGCACCAAGAAAACATTCAGTAAAACAAGAAGCTCTGCTGTCAGATTGCTCTATAAAACATACAGTAGACTTGGATATGCAGATAAATAACCAGAACTGGAAAATGCATATGCAAAAAAACCTTCTGAGATTGTAAGCAGAAAAAATTACTGTATGTAGATTTTCTTTAACAAAATCACACCACCAGGTGGATGTGGTTATATGTAACACACACATTCCATGTCCTTTACCCAATCCTTTTACTGTATTTTACCTCTCTTGGAACCAACTGTATGCAGTTACCTGTGCCCAAAAGAAAATATAAATATGGAAGAATGTGTGTATATATATGCCTAATACATACACGTAAGTATCACACACACATCTATGTAAGATACATATATTACATACATATTATATACAATCTCTATATATATTCACTCTTGGGAAGTGAAAAAGATACCATAATTTACTTTAGGGAGAGACATATCTCCAAACAAAATTCTTCAACAGCATTTAGTTCCCCTGGAAAGTTGTATTTTAAGTTTTTTTCTTCCATATTCTAGCAACAGAGTCACAGCAAACCCTCCTCTTACAGGATGCTTCACATCTTCTACCATATTTTTATTAGTCTATATGAAAAATACTTAATATATCTTAAAAAAAAAAGGTATATATATTTCCAGATGTTTCCTCCTACTCCTCTGTGAACATTGAAAATAACTAATAGTATAATGAGTAAAAAGCCAGACAAGTATTTTGTTTCAATACTCGCTCAGTCTAGGCATGCTCTGACTCTAAGGACAGTCTCTTGTGGTTGATCTACATTAAATTAAAAAGTATGCAACCTCCCATTCAGTAAATTTAAGAATATTTCCAGCAGAAAATTTCTTTTTACTAAATCTGTAGTAGTGCACAAGACAACTCCACTGAATTTGGTTCAGCCAGAACTACTGTATGAGTTTATTTTTTTCTACATAGCTTTAATCATAGTAAATGGAGAAGTACTTAGGAATAAACAGTGACAGGGTAGTTTGATACTGGAAAAAAACAAACAAACAAAAAAAACCCTAATTTTTTAACCATTCCAATGGGTGAACTGGGCATTCTCTTTCCAGGTCTTCCATGACAACAAGGAATCTCAAGGTCAAAAAAGAATGGATAGGTTTTCCTGAAACACCAGCTCACCAGAACTAAGGAGTCCAGTTTCAAGCAGCAGTTGACAGAGACTGCTGGTTGGTGGCTTTGGCACTGCGGAGTGTGCAGGCCAGTGGACACTCCACATTACAGCCCCTTTATAGACCCTGGGAATTCAAACACAGCACTGGAATGAAACTGTCTACTCCTGGCCCCAAAAGCTGCATTGCTACATGGAGAGGAACTGAAGACTCCCCAAGACAGACAGAGCCTAAGAGAAACCTCAGTTGTGAAGACAAAGACACTTACTCGTGAGCAGAAACTTCTGAATTCAAAGAGTACCTATGTATTTTAACTCAAAAGAATCACTGAGAACCAAAGCCATAAACCAGACTTAAATCTCTCTGGGTCTAGGTCTTTGTTTTAATTAAAAGATGAAGGCTGGCTTTAAAATCCAATATTCTTCTGATCTGCCAGTCCCCTTATGGGCTACTCCTATGTCCTTTTTCTAGAAGACTAATTCAGGGTTTCATTACTAAGTTCTCATACCAGTCTTCAATGGCACTACCCATCCCCTCCCATGCATCTGCGACTGAAGGTACCATCAGTGAGACCCTACTTATTAGAAAAATAACTGAAATTCAGCAATGTCAAACTGGGTCTGAAAAGAGGGGAGTACTATGCCAGAAAGCTAAGGAAGAAAAACAAAGGAAATATTTTATTGCCCATTTTTCCTCTGTGGCCTTACAGTAGAATCAAGTGATACAGCTTTATATTACCAGGAAAAATGTAAGCTAGGGCTGTCAGGAGAAGATATGTCCCTCTTCTCCTCTGTATTCTTGCCAAGCAAGTCCGCATAGGCTTATGAGATAATTCAATGTGTGTCTATCAACTTGTAGGAAAAATACCATGTCTGCTACTGACACTGGAAAACAACATACTGATATTTAAGTTATTCACAGATATACAAGATCTTAGGAGGCCTTTTTATAGATTTTTTGGTACAACACTCTGCAAAGACTGAGGATATGCAGCAGAACTGCCCCAGGGAGCTAAATTTCAGCTTTGGAAATGTTATCTCTTTGCACTGAGTAAGAGACTACATGGAAAATGCCTGAAAACTAATCATCGTTCTTGGATGTAGTTAGCATGTTTGTGTAAACACCAATGGCTGTTTCAGTCTAATGTAGCTGTCAGGGAAAAATGGTGAAAAGAAGGGGTATGGAAAAGGGCTTCTCTGCTGGTATCTTTATTTTCTTGGTGATCCGTAGGGATTTTTCTGAAACAACCTAAATCAAGCTTATTTCAAATACTTTCACATTTTTATCTATCTAACAGTGACATTACTTTTTACTGGTCTCCTCTGTCTATGAGAAACTGAAAGTTTTATTATGAGCTTTCAGATTTTGTTTTCTCTGGTTTTGTGCTGTGTTTGCCTTTCCCTAAACTTGCAAGCTTTCTTGACTTTCTAAATCTTCATCTTTTCCAGGTAAAAGATAACAAGGACATTTGCCATGCCTCATGCATGCAAGTTGTGGCATTTGGCAGAAAAGCATTATAAAAGGTTTCCACATTATAAAACAAAACTATAGCTTTGTGAACAAAACTATGAAAAAATCAAATATCTGGGCCTCGCAAAGGCAACATCTGCTAGCTGAATTTCTAACTTTATCATGGGAGCACAGTTAAAAACATATAACGACAAGAGTAATTTTCTTATAACACTACAAAAATACCTTTATTCAAATAAGAAAGAAATAAAACTGTTCCATATCCCTAAAGCCACTGTGCTTTGTACACACACTCTCACTTGCCCTGTTTCTGCATGGACTCTTTCTCAACTCAGCAAGAAACCAGATTTAAGCGAGTATTTCTCCTGTTTGGAAGAAATATCTTTATGGATAGTGGATATATGGATATGCAAACACGTCACAGCAGAAGCTGTCGAAGTCCTGACTGCTCTCTGGCACTTGCCTTGCACTTCCCAATATGAGTGCCTAGCCATTTTCCTGGATTTACTGTTTAATCCAACAAAACTTCAAATACAAAGGACTTGCATAGGGAGCTGGAGTAATCTGCTACTCATCACTTCTACTACGTACACAACAAATAGTTAGTATGGTACTGGCTGGTCGATATGACCACACTGTGTCCTCGGGCTGGCTATGTCAATGTGTGCACTATATATATGTGTCTGTGTATATTTATGCACATACATGCATATACACATACACAAAGGTAATTTGGCCACTGCCCAGCTGTCAAAAGCACAGGACCCAAACCCAGGAAACACCATCTCAGTGCCTCCCGTGGCACCCACCCACCCACTCTCCCCTTGCTAGGGGAGCTCAGCCCATCCAACCCATGGGACATTTCCAAGTGGGGTGTGAAAGATGCAGCAGCGCTCACCTGTCTGGAGTTCGCCTCTTCCCGTTTTCGTTCACATCGAGAAGCAGCTCTGAGGAGTCAACAGGTGAGGTGGTGCTGGCATCCAGAAGCAGCTGTTCGTGCTGGGCGAGGTACTGGGCTGGGTTCTGCTTGGCTAGCCTTGCACAGTGCAGCAGCTCCCGCTGCAGCAGGGGCAGATTGGCCTGCAAGAGCATTGCACATGTTGAGAGGGCAGCTTGCAGGTGGTTTCCAGCAGAAAAATCAGAAATCAAAGGTAAGTCTGCTCTGGGAGGAACCTGTTGCAAGCATCCTCAACTAGGTCTGTTGTGGTTAGCTGCCTGAAAGCAGGCAGCCTGATTGTGGGGTGAGGTCATGTTTGTGGCATGGATGCATGGAAGGATGGGAGTTAAATTATGAAAATGGAAAACAGAACTGCAAATGCTGTGAGAAAACTAGGTCTGAGCTCCACACCTTTAAAAGGGGAAAAAGCATTGCCCTGCCTTTCTTAATCTCCTTTCTTACTATCTAAAACCTGAGTGCCTGTGGAGCAGCAGCTTTCAACAAGTAACAAACCTTCATTATTTGCTTTCCATTCAGACTGCAGTTAGTACTTAAAAATCATTTGCAACCACAGCATCTGCAGCTCTGTCACCATCCTTCAAGGGCCTTGGGGAGAACAGGATTGCCCTGAGCTTTCCCATTACACTTGCAGTTACACATTAAGATAAAGATTACAACAAAATCTCATGTTCCAGAGCTTCAGTTAATCACAGAGGGCAATGACCCTCCTCCAAGACAGATGTACCTTAAAGTATTTTTAAGCTTCCTCTCAGGGCCCCACTGGGACTTGTATCATGGGCTGAAGAGCACCACAACTCAAGCCACAGAGAACTGAAGATGCTCACTGATCTCTGGATGTCATATTTTACCCCATCTACTGGGCTCACACTTCTTGCCAGATATGGGACCAAGATGGAACTGTATGACCCTCACATTGGAGGAGATAGCTACACAGCCCAGGCAACTTCTTCCTTTCTTTGTAGCATATGCATATATTGATAATAATTTTTTACCTACTTATTTTTGTCATAAGGTGATGTGCCCTGACCTCTCTTGTCCTGTGCCTAGTGCACAATGATTTGTTGCCTGGGGATTTTCAAGTACTGGATTAAATTTCATGGCCTTTAGTAACTAGAGGTGAATGTAGAGCTGCAGCCTGTGGACTTGGATCTGCAGCTGTGAAGGACTCCATGCCAGGGAAGGTGACTGTTCCCAAAGCAGGCCATGACTCTGTGGGAAGCTCACGCTGGAGTAGTCTGCTCTTAAGGAACTGCACCTCATGGGAAGGACTCATGTCAGACAGATTCATTAAGGACTCTGTTCCATGGGAGGGACCCCATGGGGAAGCAGGGAAGGACTGTCACGAATCCTTCCTCCTGAGGAGGATGGCGCGGCAAGAACCACCAGCCTGTGAACTGACTCTAAACCCTGTCCCCCTGTGTGTCATCCCCTGTACCCCTGTGCCGCTGGGGGGAAGGAGGGAGAGAAACCGGGAACAAAGTGATTTGGGGCCAGGAAGAAGGGTGGGGTGGGGTAACATATACAAGCCCTGCTCTTTGTGTTGTCTGTGTCCTGGGTGTGTTTGACTAGTGTGAAATTAAATTATTATTTTTCCCCAACTTGAGTCTATTTTGCCTGGGACCTTAATCAGTGAATGAAGCCTCCTTGTCCTTTGTCTTGACCCATGAGCTTCTCATTGGCCTTTGTCCTCCCCATCCCAGTGTGTGTGAGAGGGAGGGAGGGGAGTGGACAGGTGGCTAGTTCTTTGTTGTTAGGTTAGGCCCAAACCACAACATTAATGTATGTCAAAATGGTTCTGAAACATGCTGGGAACAAAGAGGGGGAAAAAAAAAAAAAGCGCAGATGTCCTGGAACGTTTTGAGCACAAGATCTTGGTAAATTACTTTGCTAACATTATAACAATCGCAAATGCTCCAGCACCTGTTCCTGTACCATAAGAGAAGACCCACTGTGCACAAACAAAAGGGGCCTATTTCATGCACGTGCACTTCTGGCTCCCTGAGACAATCAAATTTTGAACTCGCAAACAAAAACCTTAATTCATTTTACTTGTTTTCCTTCTCCTAAAGAAATGCTAATTCTTGCTCTTTAATAATAAACATGAAGATTTGCAGTTAAATAATATTTTTTTTCTAAACAGGTTGAACATATTTTCTGTGCACAGATGTCTACAGCTCTTAATATATTTATTATATATTGAACTATTCAGTTTCTTAATTTTTAGAATTTTAAAGAAAACTATGAATTACATGGCTCATTATAAGGTTTTATAATGGCATCAAGCAACATTTGGACAAAGGCAAACTCAAAGTGAAGAAAAACAGTATTTAAAAACTTCTAGTTCAACTCAAATAGTTTCAGTCTGCTCAAGACATTATTCTAAACATTCATTATGAAACCATATAGTAAAACATAATTGATTTATTGGAGGAACAAAAATCAAACGGCTAGGTCAAGAGTGCAGAGTACAGGCTGCAGTACAAAACAAAGAACTAGTTTTTGAAAAGCTGGATGCAGAATGAAGCACCAACATTCTCCCTAATGTGAGCAGAGAGAGATCAGACTCCTAAGGCAACTCAAGTGTACTCAAACAGACTCTGAAACCAAAATGGCCTTAGCCATAAAGGTTCAGCTGTGACAGTACAGTTCTCAACCAGAAGTCAGATATATAGGTTAGGAAAACACTGACTACAAACAATATGATATTACTGGCTTACAGTCTCCTAAAATGTTGCTCTTCGGTGTCTGGAATAAGCTCCTGCACTTGTTTTGGATTAGACCTTATAGCCTCCCAAGATTTAGGTAGTCTTTTACCCTCCTCCATCAGTTTTATAATCACAAATAGGATGAGGAGAACATGTATTTTACTCAGCTGTCAGACCTGTTTTGCACTTTGAAACAAACTGTTTTAACAAGAAAAGAAAACATTATCGCTGCATCTGCAAAAGAAACTACAGGTCCAAAAGCCTTTTATAATTTCAGTGCTCACTCCAAGTAATTAGTTAATAATTTTCCACTGTTGGATGTTCCTACTTTCTTCAAAATTTTGGCAACAGAAATATTTCAGTATTGTAATTTAAATTTAAAAACTTCATTAGTATATAGTACAATTAAGCTTTGATGTAAGTCTTTATAATTGCCAGTTTAAATAAATTCAGACATACTTTAAAAAAATATTTCAATTGAGACAATTTTTTCTTGAGAGAGCCCAAGTAACTCAAAATCCAATTATATATTGATACTGATGCTTACAACTATATCACTATACACAGCATGTCTATTGAAATACAGAGTGTTGTCAGTACTGAACATGTACACCATGTACTACTTAAATTTAATAGCCTAAATCCTGTTTGATATTAATACAGAAAATGTGCACAAAAAGGCTCCCAGCCAATGAAGGTTTCTACAGGTGAATGATCTTATCTTCCTCTGAACCAGAACTGGAAGAGAGATAAGCAATTGGATGAGTATTTATTATCTGTAATAGATCAGCACTCCCTGGCATGAGGCACCATACAGCACCATGGTGTGAAGGATAGGTCCTTTCCCAGAATTTTTAGTACAGAAGTACAAGTATCAGCTTCCAACTGCAATATCGTGTTCGGAACATTAGCATTCTGTAGTGGATTTAGACTGGACAGGATACACAGCATGCAAAAGGTTTCAAGAAGGTTTTGGTGATCTGCCTCCATCAGGTTAACAGATTAGAGGCAAAGCTGGGAAAAGAAAAGAAGTCTACCATTCAGGACAAGTCTATAGCACAGAAGGGACTGCAGGGCTCAAGAGCTTCTCTCTTGCCATGGTAATACTGCGAAGTGCAGCAGAGATCCTAGCTCTGGTCCTGCAGAAGTTATTCTGCCACGTT